TTCAAGGCAGGAAGAATATTACGGAAGTACTAGTAATGTAAACGAGGCTCTGCGCGGAGTATTTTAAAACATTGGAACATCGCAACAAGAATTCTGCTCACCTTATTGTCCTCCTAAACATGATGTTCTTATTTCTCATTTAAAGAGTCACATGCCTAAAATTATATTTATGTGATGCCAATAATGAGAACAGTAACACATGCTATAATTAAGGTAGACTATATTGACAATGAGCGCATTCTCAACGAATTAAGCCAGGCTTTACAAAGCCGGTGACCTAAAAATGGCGGACGTACATGAAAGAAAAACCGCCTAATCTTTTAATAGTCTCTCCGCCTCTCACACGCCTCCCCACACGTCGTCCCTGCGGGGTACAGTAATTAAATCTCGGCTCCGAACATTAATATTTCCGTGAATATCTCTGGTGATATTATCTCCGTAGATAGTCGATTCATTGCTGCTCTACGGGCCAAATTATTCCTTTTTCGTCTCTGTTTTCAAAGATAATAGAACAGAAGAGCTTTTTTCCTTCGATCGCCTTCAGCCGCCATGCTTTCTTCACCACGAGTTTAACTGATGAGCATGCGCACTTAATATTTCTCAGGTAGCTTCCGCATGGCGAATGGAGCCGAGATTTAATTACTGTACCCCGCAGGGACGACGTGTGGGGAGGCGGAGAGACTATTAAAAGATTAGGCGGTTTTTCTTTCATGTACGTCTGCCATTTTTAGGTCATCGGCTTTGTAAAGCCTGGCTTAATTCGTTGAGAATGCGCTCAATGATCCAAAGTCATTTTTATGTACAGACACAGATATGTCTGTAAATGTGTTATCATGTATTGTGTAATAAAGTGTCAAATATGGAAACGAACTCATGTCATTGCAGTTTGTCAGATTCATTCCTTCGTATGTGTAGAATCTTAGAATGGAGCCAAACGAACATTTAAAATTGTTCTATTGATATTTTTACCATTTCAGCAATTTTCTTAGTTGATCATATAAAAATGGTAGAAAGTTCCTTATTTTGTATTATGTAAAAATAGTGTTGAAAATGGAAATAAACTCATTTTGATACAGTTATCTCTTGGCATTTTTAAGGTGTGACTTTGAAGTTCCGTGGGCTTGAAGACCTCTGCTAGTCACTATTTCATCCATGTTACCTGCAGTACATAAATAAAGATTGGTGGTGATAATGCTGTTAAACATTTTGTAATATTGCATTTTAATTGAAGAAAACCCTATTTTGGGCACTGTTGTCATAGTGACCATTTAAGGAAAACCGTCACTGACATAATTCTCAAACTTACAGTAAAGAAACAAATTTTAAGGACTTAACTATAGCTTCAGTAGGAAAACCATGCAGTCTGATTGGTTAATATTTCTGTAAGTTATACAGTTTTATGTGAAATAATATTTCACATATTCAAGATGTGACTTTGAGGCCATTCAGAAGATCTGATGATGTTGTGGAGGTGTGTGGAGTTCATAAATTACTTAATTAGAAATGGTGTAAAACATTGACTGCAAGTGCAGAGATGGATTGACCGATGATTTGTAAGTTGGAGAAATTTAATTTTTTTGAAGAAAATTATATATGGCGAGAACCCTGAGATAGGATGCTTTTAAGATAAACATGTTAAATTGTAATCAGTGTTATTATTGTGAATTATATTTCAGCGTAGACATCTCTCTCAGGTAAAATCTGTATTACAGGCCCAAAATTATATGATTGTGAGAAATAATAACATAAATGCAGATACTAAAAAGTTTGTTTATTCAAATTATATGATTGTGAGAAATATAAACATAAATGCAGATACTAAAAAGTTTGTTTATTCATTCTAATACAGGTATTAAAATATCTTATTGATGATATTTTGTGCTTTTGGCACTTAGTTAAATCTTGTTATATAAACATGACAGTCTTGATTTCCACAAACACAATCGGGTTCATGTGACAACCAGTGATAACAGTGATGAATGGTACTAGTAGACAGTAGTGGTTCTAATGACAATGATTTGAATGCCTGAAGAATATTTTGCCAACTAGGAAACAGTTTTTTTTTCATGGTCTCTAAAAAGGATGATGAAACAGAATGATTCTTTTCCAGAGACTAAATGACATAAATTAAACATGAGTTTTTGAACCACCATTTATGGACCTTGGTTACAAGAATGGTGAGTCCTGTTTCCCAGGCTTTGACTAAGGTCCATAGATGGGATCCAGACGTGGTGAGGATCTGGAGATATTTTCTGACAGTCTTGATTTCCAAATTATCCATTTTGACCTTCTTTCAACAGAAAAATTAGGTGCCTGTCAATGTAAACTTAAAAATTCTGACTGTCTTCCAGAAGACCCAACAGACTGCTTCTGTCCACCCCTATGTTTATTTAGTCTCTAAGTAATGCCATGTAGATTATTGACAACAAACTTAGACATGCCAGAATGGCCTAAAAAGGTATATTCTTTCCTGTGTGTACCATTGCTTATGTTCATTTGTAACCATTGTGAAGGAAGAACAGAAGTGAAAAATGAATGCAAAATATAATGCCATGGATATGACTGCAGTTGGTTTGTTTTCAGCCAATTTATTGTGTACAAACTGTGTTTTTGTTTTACTGTATGAATGTTCCACATGAACTTTACATCAGGCACTAAGATTGGTGGAGAACTTGATAAAACTGAGATTGGTGGAGAACTTGATAAAACTGAGATTGGTGGAGAACTTGATAAAATTGAGATTGATTGCCTGGTTAATGTTGAGGTATCAGTTATTACCTTAAAAAAATTAATTTACAAGACGCATCAGCCTTATCACCATAGAACACTCTTAAATCTGATAAAACATTGATTTGTTATGTATTTCTCACCAAGTTTGTTGCTTGTCCCTTTGAAGCTCTGGCCATGAATGTGTCTGTTGAGATTGCACATGAACAGCAAGCACAATCTGAAAATACTAAGTACATTAGGCCACACTTTTTTATTTCTATGGATGACATCCTCTGGGTACCCCAAAATCGGTGCGAGAGGGCGAAAAAAAAAAAAACAGTCCAAAAAAAAAAAAACTGCTTAAGTAAAAGAATGCTGTCAGTACACAGCTGGAAACACAAATTTAACCACAGAAACACGTATCAAACTAACAATATGTCTTTATCCATGCTCTCAAAATATTAAAGCATTGTGAATACTTCGTAGAAATGTAAAAAAAGTCATGAATTGATATACTTCATATTACCAAATCTATTTAAGGTTATTTCATGCATTCATTTGGTATAGCAATCAATAAAACAAATATCAATCAAACAGTGTGTCTTTATTTGTATTCTCAGAATATTAAAACATTTTGAACACTTCACAGAAATGTTTAAAANGGATGTCATCCATAAAATTAAATAAGTGTGGCCTTAGGAATATCTTTGCTTTGTTACTGTGGCAGAGCACAGAAGATGTCTGTATAAATGTATAGTATCGAATCATGATTTACAAATAGAAAAGGGACGCTATAACGGCACAGAGGCAGAAAATAGATCTGTGTGCATTGCCTGTTTTTCAAAAGGATATACTGTAGTTATGTCAAAAAAGAGATTCATGTCCTACAAGAGCATACTTAATACAAAGGCTTAACCAAACAGTACATACCAAACATACATCTTTGCAAAACAGTGACTTTATAAAAAGATTCTGTGGCGGATTGAGACCGTCTTCTTGGTCTTCCAGAAGACAGTCTGATTTTAAAGGTTACTGTACTGTACATAGATGGGTATCTAATTTTTTTTCTGTCAGAAGACGATCAAAAATGGAGGAATAGGATAGATCAACAAAGATAATTGGGAAGACTGTCAGAAAATATCTCTGGATCTGCTCCTGAGATTGGCAGGTTACTTATATCATTGTAACAAAATCAGAAGATAAAATTATAATATGTGGACTTCATGTACATTTATATCTAGACTTTATTTTCATATTTATATTTAGAACGTTTGTTACTTATTGTATTTTCATCCCATAAAATAATGTTTTGAACTATGTATTCTGGGTCTGTAGGCCTGAAGTATGAAATAAACTTAAAACTTGTCACATATGCTGCTGAAATATCATAAAGTACAGTAAGAGGTAGAGGGGAAACTTGAATGGACATACCAGTAATTACTGATCAGTCTATGACATAAACCTAAGATTATTAAAAGCTTTTTCTGCATCAGTCTATTAAGTTATCAAACCACTGTTGTCCAGTGAAGATGACCTATTTTACCATGTGTTATCATCCCACTAAGTTCTCATCATCAGCTGGTGTTGACTTAGAGTACATCTGTACTGTGATCTGCCCCAGTCACTCACTGATCACATGTACCACATCATGTGACTTAATCAGGTCACCATGCCCCCTGCAACATAAGTGCCCAGGTGTATAATCCTCTCTGCTAATTCTTTACTGTTACTCTCTTGAGCAAGCCTCTTCATATGGGCCATACCCTGTGTTCATACCTTTCTCCAAGCCTTGTAAAGAATGTCTTGAAATGTTTTATATAGAAGTTGTAGGAGGATTGTACAATGGGGTTATAGATGTGTTAGTGTGTAGAAATGTGGTAATTGTGTGACACAGTATATAATGCAGTGTAGCAATGTTTGTTGTCATCTCCATAGCAAGTAAGGGTAGAACATGGTGTTTGCTTAGTACTTGGGTACTTATTTGTATGGAACTATTATGCCAACGTTTTACACTGGTTCTTCAGTCTGAATGGTTATCGATAGGTGACGTCAGATTCCGTCAGTTTCTCAAGGCTTTTATAATGGGGCTTTAGAGGAGCAAGAAATAAAAAAGTAATGGTGTTTTTTTAAAGAGTACTTCATTAGTACTGTGTTTTTCTTTTTACTTTGAGCTTCATGCAGTGATCAGTAGAGCATTATGCTGTTATTGCACTGAGCTACAGTAGATACAGAAAGATATGGATATTGTGAACCATTTTAATTCTCTAAGTGTGATGTTCACCGTGTGCACCCTCACTATGGAGAGGGTCATTTAAATAAGAGCTGGGCTCAGAGACTCTCAAGCCCAGTGTTGTGGGTGTGAACTGGGTGTGACAACCCAGCCAGGCAATCATGAAAACTGTCTCAGAGGAGGACATGGCATGTATTAACATGGAGCATCCTATACCTTGGGATGATTTAGGAGATCTTATAGAGTGTGCACATGATGTCTTTGGTAAGCATTGAACACACAGGGTTTGGGGTGATGTCATGTGTTATGGTTGAAGTAATCTCTGCAGTGAGGAGATGACTTGCATTTTTTAACACAGTCAGGCAGGCTAGGATGTTTTCAGTGGGACCGGGAGGTCCGTTTGCCATGGGTTTTGTCTGATTGGGTTTGATAACATGTATGCACATGTAAGTTTAAGAGAACTGGACAGATTTTCCAAGAGTTTTGTAAAGGCTTGTCTTGCAAAATATAGACACACATGTATTTAGATATTTTAAAATATCGATTAAAAATTAATTATTTTACACTTTTTCTCATAAAGTTGGGGTGGTTGCTAGATCAGCTTTTTCCTATCTTTGATGTATGCTTGTAAGTTAAACTCATGATCAATTTGAGAAGAGTTGAGAAAGACCCCCCCCCCCCCCCATCAATATATATATATATATCTGGCCTCATACAAGAGGGAATGTTACCATGCAAATGATGTCTGCTGCAAATTTGAATACTTTCTTGCTTTAGGTGCTCTTGTAAATTTGTTGCAATTTTTTTTTCTTGCAAATTCCTTCAAAGTCCTTCAGACAGTTGGGTGCAAGATGTGTGTAGTTACCTGCAAGTTTTGTTACAGGGGTGTACAGTCAGTTAAGGTACAAAATGACGCTAAAGTGGAAAAATATAGAAAAAGGACTTTAAAAATAATACTCTTGCTTGTTATATACACAAAAGTTTTTGCAATTTTTTAAAGAGCTCACAAGATAAAATAGTTGCCTTAACCTAAGGCCCCATTCCCACAAACAGCATTGATCCACATGGATCAACCCAACTTCGCATGGACTCTTGTTGACTGCAATCAGCTTAACTAAATGACACACACCTCCTCCTGGCATTAAGTAGAATACAGAAAAACTGGTGATTAGACAATAATGTTGGAAACAAGTTGTGTCATTCAGTTAAGCTGATTGCACTTAGCGAGAGTCCCTACTTACAGAGTGGATTTGTTCTATGTTGACCAGCGGCGTGTACATGTATTTTTATGGAAAGGAAAGTGAAGTTACTAGTGATGGTCATACATCCTATCATAGTGTGTGGATGGTTGTATGTAGGTTTAGATGCCATGTAGAACTGTTATGTAGGAGTAAGTTATTTGTTGATGGTCTCTACACCCTTTCACAGTATCATTGCGGTTGTGCTGGTGCCTCCCAATCAAATGATATGATGTAAGTGGGGGTAGAAATGATGTAGGAGTAATCTCCATATCAACCAATAGAATTCCTCTACATGGGTTATTTGTGTACTTGTAGGAGTGCATGATATACTACAGAAATAATAATAAGTGTTACCACATAGATATATTAGTGGACTTGGCTGTCAGAGATTTGGAGAGTGCTTTGAGGGAAATTTGTCACGATTCCTTGCTAAGGTTGACAGATAAGAGTGTTGTTTATGAATAAAAGGTGTGGATGCAGTACTAGCAGAATACTTGGCTATATAGATTAATCCATTATCTTGAAGACTTAGAGAATACTTCTGTTGCATGAGGGGAGTAAGAAAAATGAGATTTTACCTTGCCATTTATTCCCCTTTTTGAATAAAGGTATATAATAGTATTGCACATATGGACCAGCTAGAACAACAGTTCCACATCTCCTGATCAATGATGGCTCCATGTTTTCTTTCCCATGGATTGACCTGTGTTTATAAAGGTATTGCCTACTACTTCTATTGATTGTACCTTGTTAGTATTCCCTGTATTAAGCTGCTTACATCATGATGTATGGCAGGCCATGTGAGATTCACTGTGGTCAGGTGTATACTGTGTATGGGATTACAGGCAGGTGAGGTGTGTCAATACAGAAGACTGGTTATCAAGGGGCCAGGTCAGTTTAACTTCTCTAGACTACCAGCTATGTCAGCTCTTCACTGGGAGAAATGTGCCCAGAGAGGAGTGAAGATTATAGCTGAAAGTAAAATCAATGTTTATATTTCTATCTGTTTTAGGAGAGAGCTGTGTCACTTCCAGTCTTTTTCCAATGGATTCCTCTCCTGTAGTCACAAGTCCTGAGGTAGACAACAGTAGTGCTATCAGCAGCAGTAACATCATCAGTAGCAGTGACAGTATTACAAAGGAAGACAAACCCCCCTCTCCTCTACTCCCTCCATGTCGTGTGTGTGGGGAGAAGGCTTCAGGTTTACACTATGGAATCAACACTTGTGAGGCATGCAAGGTAAGGACTGCCAATTAAATTTGTTACCTACATTTTTTTTTTGGAATGAGTTGAAAGTATTTTTTCTCTGGGCCAAAAAACATATTATGAATGTTTTTATGTTAATTGAATATTACCAATATGTATATAGAATGTAAATGTAAATACCTAAAATCTGTTTTTAAAGCACGCACACACACTCTATCCAAGGTAGCTTTTTAATGTTTTGAAAATGGATAATTTGGTTAAATTCTGGTGTTTTGACAGAATAGTGCTATTGTTATCTCCCAGTGTTACTGTTATCAATTGTGGAGTAGAATTATTATAAACCAGAAAGAGATTTTTAGCAGTTTTGTAGTGTGTCTTATGAAATCTCAGTAAAATCACCAGTCACGCTTACAAGCCTGAAGCAAGTGCTTTGATTACCAGAAGTGCGTTTTTTCAAAATATTCTAGAAAATGAACTCATGATGACCAACAATTAAAATGTTATAAATATATCTGAGATTTGTTTCATAATAACAACTTTTTTCAGACTTTTTCATTTCAAATTGAACCCTGCTATTGAGGAAGTATACGAGCACTTTAGAGCTGTTATCTCTTTCAGGGCTTCTTCCGCCGCAGCTTACAGAGGAAGGAAGATTATCAGTGTGTGGGCGATGGCAACTGCAGAATACAGCCTGGGAAACGCAACTCGTGTGCACACTGTCGTTATAAGAAGTGTGTCAGCGTAGGGATGTCAAAGAAGGGTAAGTTGATATCAGAGGTCAGTGTCACTTGGCTAGAAGGCCACATGGTTTGATAGCCTGAGTAACTGAACTGGAAGTAAGTTTGTCCTTTGAGTGGCTGAACTCATATGACAGACACTGCTGCAGTGCTCTATACTTTTGGTGATTGAAATTGAATTTTAGCTTTTTATATAAGGGGCTGCTGGAAGATGTCTTCTGGGTCTTCTGGAAGATGGTCAGAATTTTTCCACTGTACACAGATGGACATCTAATTTTTTTCTGTCAGAAGACAGTCCAAAATAGAGGATGAATCAACAGCGATAATTTGGAAGCCTGTCAGAAAATATCTCTGGATCCACCCCTGAGATATGTTTCAATGAAAAATGTAGACAAAGGTTAAATTATACCATGTCACCTGTTCTGAGTTCATGTCACCTGTTTTACAAGTGATAATATCTGCCAATCCTTACCACAATATATACTATGATATATCCATAGTCTGCATGTACAGTTTATCTTTATTTTCCACATCTTGTAGAACTTGTTCTATCAGCCAGCAAATATTTTGAATTCAAAACAGCTAGGCTCCTTTTGTATGCTGCTAGTGTGAACTTCATTGGGAGTTTGGAAACTTGACCCCCTGTGTTTATGTGAAATTAACTGGCATTGAGAAAAGTGATAGAAGAAAGATGTCAGTTGAGCAGTTTTACTAACTGAATAACATAGGCTAGATAATGTTACTTGTAACATAGTAGGGGACATTCACTTCATAAATATCGCTAGATGATGTGGTCTGTTACTCATGCATTTTCAATGTGTGGGGAGACATTACATGCATCTTTATTATCACTTCATTTACTATTTCTGCACCATATGTCACCTAAAGGCAGGCTTTGGTTTAAAAACTAATGGCTAATAATTGATATGAAGTCTAACAGTGTGATAAAATAATTTGTATCCTACACATTAAGATCAAATTATAAACTTTTCCAAGTTGTTTTGTTTTCTTTTAATTTTCTGTTGATTATTCTTTTGTTGTAGGCTTTCTGTGGTTTGGTAATTGGGTATGGCTAGTATTGAAAGGTCTTTATTGATATAGTACAGCATCTCGTGACTTGCCAAGCTTGAAGGATGAAGTCAGCTTTATTTGAAGTCAGTGTGATATTGTGCAATACCACTTCTCTATTTATTTACAGGGTTAAGAGATGGAGGGGTTTTGGCTTTAAATTATTCTTGCATTCAGACACTAAAAAATTCAAAAAGTTTTTCATTTATACTCGACTGTTGTTAATTTGGGATATATGTTTACTTCATCTTTTTATTTATTTTCAAATTTGGCTCAGATATAAAGATAAAGTGCTCAGATATTACATAGGGCTATATGATGAAACTGCTAGAAATGTTAGGACAGATCGACCTTTCAGCAAAGGTACTGTCCTATCAGGTTGATCAGATCTTTTGGACAGACCATTCAGTTAAGGTACTAACCTTTCAAGTTATAGATCAGACTTTTAATTTGACAGATATATCAGGGTCCTTACCTTATAGGTAACCAGACACAAACATCATCAAAAGTACATATTTAAGTGTTAAAAACTGCTAAAAGCAGCTATAGTAAAATTAGCTCTTAAAATGACCAGATGGATAGCTTGATTGAACTAGGTCAATTACTGGAGTGGATCCAGAGATATTTTCTGACGGGGCCGTAGCAATAGTCCGAAGGTTCAATAGTCCGAAGGTTCATTGGTCCGAATGTTCACTACAGAACCTTCAGACCAATGAACCCTTGATTAAAAAACCTATGAAAATGTTACCGTTTTTCGGACCAATGAACCTTTGGACTATCGAGACGCCCCCTTTCTGACAGGCTTCCGAATTATCTTTATTTATTAGAAAAAATTAGATATCCGTCATTGTAAACTTGAAAATCTGGACGTCTTTCCAAAGACCCAGAAGACGGCCTAAATCCACCCCTGAATTAAACCTAGCTGTAAAGATTAAAGAAAAGAATTATAACAACTAATTTTTTCAGTATTTCAAGGCAGTGAGATAAAGTGGCTATCATCCATGTGGTCCATCTTTATGTTGAGGACATTGACACAGTTGGAGGTGTTATCACAAAGTGTCAATAGCTCCCATTTCAATCAAAGCAATATCAGAGGTGACATTAGCACACTGTACAATGGGAGCTTTAAGGGAAAGTGTTTGACAAGTGCAGCCTGCTGACTCTGAGATCAGCATCTTAGTTTAGATTGAACTGAGGAGTGGCGGGATGGCGGTGCTTTATTGAACTGAAGATAGCTGTTGAAACTCTAGATAACCCATGCTGTCTGTAACCTGTCTGCTGATCTAGGTCACTGTCTGCTGACCTGGACTATATACATACATATATATACAGTATATATCCTATGACCTAGGTCATGGTATCCACTCTCCCTTCCTCTCTCTCTCTCTCTCTTGTATTGTTGACCTGAAAGCTTTTATCTTTGATTTTACATGAGCAATACTGCATGTTTTCTATCTCTGTTTTCTGTCTGTTCTAGCTATAAAAACAGGTAGATATACACACGCTAAGAGAACACGAGACATAGAAGAAGTGAGGAAACTGGAAGGCAAAGATGATAATCCTGCAGACGTCCATCCTCTCTATATGCAAGCTCGGGACCAGAAAGAACATGAGATCACACAGCTTATTGAGTATTTAACCAAGGCATATACAGAGCTGGAACCAACCGGGCCTGATGCTTATAAAAAGATTGCAATGCAGCAAGAAGAATTCATGGTAAAACGTGCAAACTTATCTTTTTGATATATAGAACATATTAATTTCAATAATTTACATTTGACAAAAAGTATGAGACAAGTATCAAAAATATCTGTTTACTTGACTGATTTTTGGTTTTTGTTTTTTGCTGAGAAACCTTTTTATATAAATAAGTATCACAATCATTTGTTGGCCTAGTGTCTGGTTAAAAGATCCATCTCTTTCAACACCCTGTTCTTGCTTTTGTCCTCCAGGAACATTATAAACTAAAACAAGAAATGTTTGGGCAGCTGGAACCCATCACCAAAGAAGAGTACCGGATGTTCTATGAACTGACTGGGATAGACATAGATGACAGGAAGTCTATGGTACAGAACTGGACCAAAACGCTTGAAGATGGAGTGAAGAAACTGATCAGATTTGCCAAAGCCATTCCAGGATTTATGGAGCTTTCACTCAATGACCAGGCTGCTCTTATAAAAGGTAAACTAGTGGTTGTATTGACTTGCCAAACTGTTAAGAATATCTGCATTGTTCAGAGTCAGTAATTCTATAAGTTAGGAATTATGATAAAGTTTGCACTTTTTTCCTTTAGTTTCCTGCACTGTTAGTCAGCTGTCTAAATGTTATTTGTGTAAATACCCAAGCTAGAATTGCAAGAAATGAAATGAAAGATTATGCACAAAATTGTCTTCAGGTTTTACATCTTCTCAGCAAACATTTTGTGTGCTATAATATTATTTTCAGAAGAGTTAAAATGAGGCTATAGGTTTTTAAGAAGCGGATAATTTTTCTGAGAATGCCTGGATACCTAGAAGTCCCTTGGCTTTTTATGAACCAAGTTCTGCATGGCTTTTATATGTATATATATATATATATATGTGTGATGGTGTGTTTTATATTGTTTTGTGTTGACCTGCTGCCGTCATTCCTAGGACCATTGTGGCCACACATTGACATGGGGCAGCATTTGGGGTGATATAGGTGTAGTTTAGCTTCAACTAAATCATTCCTTTTCTTCTCATTTCTAGCAAATCGCTTTGAAACTGGGTTTGCAGCAAGTGCAGTTTATCGTTTCAATGTCAAACATCAGTGTGTAACATCCGTACATGGGAAAACGTATCACTGCTCTGAAATGTCCAAAGTGACCAACATAATCCGTGCTGATTCATTATTCAAAGAAGCAGGACATTGGCAGGCCCTAGGGCTAACCAGGGAGGAGAACGCTGTCTTGGCAAGTGTTAACATTCTGTTCCAAGGCAAGTATACCAGCTTGAGATATCTCCACTGCTTTCTTTTTAATTCTAGCCGCAAGGTTTGAGGCCAGGACAATCATGCTGCACAGACGTTTTGATGCAGAGAATTGTCACTTCACTACAGTAAATGGCAGAATTGTCCACCGCATACAGTTGGAGATGCTATATAATGATCCCAAATGGGTAGAAGCATTGTTTGCTACTGGTAGTCAGATGAAGAAATTATGCCTGACATTTCCTGAAACTCTGTTGGTGGCAGTAATCGCCATAGTCAGTCCAGGTAGGAGTTTGTCTCCGTAGAGGTAATCATGTCAGTGTAGATGACAGGCAGTATGGTGGGTATGGTATAGACAGCCAGTATATCAGAGAACATGGTGGGTAGCCAGAGAATATGACCCATGTACTGAACTATTGAATGCCCCAGGCGTTAGGGACCATTTCCACAGATATATGGATCGTTCTATCTCCCTGGCGAGTTTCACCAAATTGCTATCACTTAACCAGCTTAAATGTCTGTCACGCCTAGTAAGGCTGTTAGGGGGTAATTATCTTTACCCTAGCTGCTTCGATAGGCGTGACAGACATTTAAGCCAGGTAAGTTGATGGCAATTTAATGAGTCTCCCCATGGAGTTAGGCTGATCCAGATGGATCAATCTAGGCATGGGAACCCAGTCTTAGTGTGCATAGGAAGGTTCACTAAATGCGCACTGAAATATGGGGGCATTCAATAACATATGAATAAAGACAAAATCCTAAGACTTCTACCTTCTCAATGTACCTTTGGTTTTGGAGTTCAACCCCTCAGAGTTAGCAGTGCATTTACATGGATGCCACATATTTGTTAGTACAAACTCCCTAATGTCTTTGTGAATTCTTCCTGTGTTTTTTAAGATTTTATATAATAGTTAAGTTGTCGCAGATATCATGTTGTGACAGATACAGATGTTGTTACCCGCACCCAGCACAGTTTCATATGATTATAGACTTTGGATGAGGTCACATCTTGGCAACTGAAGCTGGGATAATTGGTCTTCAATATCAGATTGTGTTCCAGCTTTGGGTTGAACCTAGCCAAGAACCTAGCCATAAGTCTAAATAATTGACTTCAAGTGACTGCAGGTCAACTCACTAAAATAATTGACTTCAAGTGACTGCAGGTCAACTCTAAAATAATTGACTTCAAGTGACTGCAGGTCACCCTGAGCTTCAGAGATAACTTGACACTTAATTACCTCTTCACAATAGCCTATATTCATCGTGNGTTTGCACTTTTTTCCTTTAGTTTCCTGCACTGTTAGTCAGCTGTCTAAACGTTATTTGTGTAAATACCCAAGCTAGAATTGCAAGAAATGAAATGAAAGATTATGCACAAAATTGTCTTCCAGTTTTACATATTCTCAGCAAACATTTTGTGTGCCATAATTTTATTTTCAGAAGAGTTAAAATGAGGCTATAGGTTTTTAAGAAGCAGATAATTTTTCTGAGACTGCCTGGATACCTAGAAGTCCCTTGGCTTTTTATGAACCAAGTTCTGCATGGCTTTTATGTTATATATATATATATGTGTGTGCATAATCTTTCATTTCATATATATATATATATATATATATATATATATATATATATGTGATGGAGTGTTTTATATTGTTTTGTGTTGACCTGCTGCCATCATTCCTAGGACCAGTATGGCCACACATTGAGATGGGGCAGCATTTGGGGTGATATAGGTGTAGTTTAGCTTCAACTAAATCATTCCTTCTCTTCTCATTTTTAGCAAATCGCTTTGAAACTGGGTTTGCGGCAAGTGCAGTTTATCGTTTCAATGTCAAACATCAGTGTGTAACATCCGTACATGGGAAAACGTATCACTGCTCTGAAATGTCCAAAGTGACCAACATAATCCGTGCTGATTCATTATTCAAAGAAGCAGGACATTGGCAGGCCCTAGGGCTGACCAGGGAAGAGAACGCTGTCTTGGCAAGTGTAAACATTCTGTTCCAAGGCAAGTATACCAGCTTGAGATATCTCCACTGCTTTCTTTTTAATTCTAGCCGCAAGGTTTGAGGCCCGGACAATCATGCTGCACAGACGTTTTGATGCAGAGAATTGTCACTTCACAACAGTAAATGGCAGAATTGTCCACCGCATACAGTTGGAGATGCTATATAATGATCCCAAATGGGTCGAAGCATTGTTTGCTACTGGTAGTCAGATGAAGAAATTACGCCTGACGTTTCCTGAAACTCTGTTGGTGGCAGTAATCGCCATAGTCAGTCCAGGTAGGAGTCTGTCTCCGTAGAGGTAATCATGTCAGTGTAGATGACAGGCAGTATGGTGGGTATGGTATAGACAGCCAGTATATCAGGGAACATGGTGGGTAGCCAGAGAATATGACCCAGACAGTATGGTGGGTATGGTATAGACAGCCAGTATATCAGGGAACATGGTGGGTAGCCAGAGAATATGACCCAGACAGTATGGTGGGTATGGTATAGACAGCCAGTATATCAGGGAACATATGGTGGGTAGCCAGAGAATATGACCCATGTACTGAGCTATTGAATGCCCCAGGCGTTAGGGACCATTTCCACAGATATATGGATCGTTCTATCTCCCTGGCAAGTTTCACCAAATTGCTATCACTTAACCAGCTTAAATGTCTGTCACGCCTAGTAAGGCTGTTAGGGGGTAATTATCTTTACCCTAGCTGCTTCGATAGGCGTGACAGACATTTAAGCCAGGTAAGTTGATGGCAATTTAATGAGTCTCCCCATGGAGTTAGGCTGATCCAGATGGATCAATCTAGGCATGGGAACCCAGTCTTAGTGTGCATAGGAAGGTTCACTAAATGCGCACTGAAATATGGGGGCATTCAATAACATATGAATAAAGACAAAATCCTAAGACTTCTACCTTCTCAATGTACCTTTGGTTTTGGAGTTCAACCCCTCAGAGTTAGCAGTGCATTTACATGGATGCCACATATTTGTCAGTACAAACTCCCTAATGTCTTTGTAAATTCTTCCTGTGTTTTTTAAGATTTTAGATAATAGTTAAGTTGTCGCAGATATCATGTTGTGACAGATACAGATGTTGTTACCCGCACCCAGCACAGTTTCATATGATTATAGACTTTGGATGAGGTCACATCTTGGCAACTGAAGCTGGGATAATTGGTCTTCAATATCAGATTGTATTCCCGCTTTGGGTTGAACCTAGCCAAGAACCTAGCCATAAGTCTAAATAATTGACTTCAAGTGACTGCAGGTCAACTCACTAAAATAATTGACTTCAAGTGACTGCAGGTCAACTCACTAAAATAATTGACTTCAAGTGACTGCAGGTCAACTCACTAAAATAATTGACTTCAAGTGACTACAGGTCAACTCTAAAATAATTGACTTCAAGTGACTGCCTTGGCCAGTTGTTAGGCATCAAAACTTGTGATAGTGTAACAATATAGAAATGATAACTCTAAAAAATGTAAAAGAGGCAAACATTTAAATTTGTTGCACTTATTTACCATGTTGTAACTTGGAGATTACGTGTACACTCCTGTTTAATATTTTGATTCCCTCCTATTATGCTGTTTATTTGCATGATTTATGTTCTTCTCTACATTTCACCATGTTTAGTTGAATAAGGCCAGAGCAATTTTCTTTCATTGAATAAGTTTTGAAAAAAGAGTCATTTTAAGTATTTTTATCAAAGAAAGATTTTAATTGAATTATATGTAAATAATGTTCAATTACATGAATGGTTCTTTTAAGGCTTTGAATACTTTCTCTATCTATTCCTTTATTATTATTATTATTATTATCATTATTATTATTATTGACACATTTCAGACCGTTGTGAGTTGGAAAACCCTGCTCAAGTAGAGAAAATCCAGTTAAAGATGATAGAAGCGCTCCAATACTCCTTCAAAGTCCACCATCCTAATGACAAGATACTGTTGGCTAAAGTGATAGTCAGACTGATGGACCTGAGGGTATTATCTGAGTGGAACAGGAAAGTCATTGAGAGCATTCAGTTGGACTGGCCAGATATAGAGTTCCCTCCTCTTCTCCTGGAGATCATAGGATGACCCATACAGATATAGAGTTCCCTCCTCTTCTCCTGGAGATCATAGGATGACCCATACAGATATAGAGTTCCCTCCTCTTCTCCTGGAGATCATAGGATGACCCATACAGATATAGAGTTCCCTCCTCTTCTCCTGGAGATCATAGGATGACCCAAATGGCACCTTTCGCCCTCTAAAATACCCAAATATATTTTTTGCCCTCACTGGGTCCTGCACCCCACCTTGCAGACCCCCTTCAAATAATCCTGGATCCACCCCTGAAGAGGAAGGGAACTATGCTTGGGGTTATTTAGGATATCCCCAGTAGCTTGTCTTTCAAAATTCAGCTTGAGTATTGCATTTACTTTTATTCAAGATATTTTTATAAGCTGTTGTGTGCCAAGTATTACATGATTACTAGAGTAATCAACAATCAACAGTAAGTACAGTTGACAAAGACAAGAATTATGCACAAAATTAGGATGTGATTTAGCTCTGTATCATAATAAGTTAATCGATCCAGAAATCCAATATATTTTTGTAGCGAAGGTGATCACAGTGGATGTCATTAACACCGACCAGTGGTCAAACAAGATGATCGTTGCCCTGAGGTGTAGTTATATTTACATGGCAGTGCATTCTTATCAAGCAATACACATGAAACTGGTCATGTTCATTGTAATTAATTCAAATGTTAACCGTGAGTTGTCCAACGTTTGTGAAGTGGTATGTCTGTGACAGTTGTATTTTATCTTAACGTCCTTGCAGTGCTGTGTAAAGGGTGCAATAGCTTATGACATAAATGTGATGCTCAGGGATATACAGAGCCTTGTAGGACAGTAGTAGCAAGGTTAAAATAATGACTTCATTTTCTGTTTGTATTAAGTAAAAACTTACACTGCCATGGTAAAGGCTATGGACTGGGCTGTCAATAGAAAATGAACATTGCCTGACATGTCAGTACAATATTCTATAGAAAAGATTTTCTAATCCAACAAACTAAGAGGTATATTTACACTCTTGTGTAGATATGCTTGTTCTCTGTATATGCAAGTAACATATGCACTTGTCTGTTGATGGCCTGTTACTTAATTGCTATATTTTTTGTAAGTGCTGTATGAATACTTCCATGCTTTAAGCTTATATATGAATATAGTCTGTTCTCTTTCTTTATGGTCACACTTCACAGTGAATATCTCTTGGATTATTTTTATCCAATCCCTGAAATAATTCTGCAATCCAGCATAACTTCAATACATATGTATTTGTCTGTCAGATCATCTAGTTTGAAGGTAGTAAGTTTTAAGGAGATATGGGAAGTATTAGGTGCTGAGTGCTGTATTGTTATTCTTGTTATTTTACTGAAGACCAAGTTTTGTTCTTTCTTTTTTTCCAAGTTTGGTAGTCCTTTCACAAAATATAGTTTTGAATATTTTAAAAGGATCGCTAATTACACTGTGCAATTGAATAGTATAATAATGTATTGTATTGTGAAGTGTTAAAATGTTTTATCCAAATGCCACTCTGACTAAAAAACGTTGAAAAAGTAGTTCAGTCAACTACAAGAATGCATGCAGTACAGGGAGACATTCTTGACAAAATTATTGGAACGTTTTCTACATCACCCCTGGCCAAAAGCCAGTGCAGTTCTTTGTATACATCACAAACTGCACACAGAAGTTTGAAATGAAAATAATCTGTGCTATTTTACTTGAAAGCATTACCTATATATGTTCTTCCATATCTGTATTTTATAGCTGTGTGAATACTTCAGTGTATACAATATATTGTCAGTAATATGGTCTCTGTACATAGTCCACAGATGTCAGTGAAATAAATACATATTTTGATATAATGTAACAGACTTTGTAGTCAAATTTGCAATTGCCTATGAACTAGGGGGCTAAGGTATTCTATTTTGTCAGAAAACAATGTAAGTGAAGATGCTGAGGAAATAGTTCTGGCTTCCAGTTATACTGGTTTATAACGGGAACGAGGGGAGGGGGGGGGGGGCTCAACATCTGGGCTGTTTTCTGAGTCAAAGTGGACAGTTGATGTCTTCTTGCAAGAAATACATTTAGACAAAACATTGAAGTAACGGTAATTCCTTCCCTTTAGACAAGTTAAAATATAAGTCAAGTAGCTGTCTACAGTCAATGAAATTTGCGGGTGATGTTAATTTCTCATTCCTCATCTCTGATCTAAACGGCCTGTATTTTCAGGGAGCTTTCAAGAGTGGCTTAAGTCATTCATTTCTCATTCCTCGTCTCTGATCTGAACGGCCTGTATTTTCAGGGAGCTTTCTTGAGTGGCTAAAGTCTGTACAGCTGCCTGCATTTCCTGACACCTGAAAAAAAATAAAGTGAAATAATTAACATCTGTATTTGTCTTTCTCTGTATTCAATTGTACAACTATGTGATTATTGGACTTGTATATGTGAATACAATACATGCCACATAACACTATAAGAAGTTATTGGTGACTCAGCAGTGAATGGTTATGATTATTTTACAAATGTGAAGATATACCTTTTGAGTTCTTTACTCTCTTCATCAACTGCTTTCTCTAAAGCTTGGATCGCATTAGCAAAAGAGGTCACTTTAGGCTGCTCTTGCCGCGTCATTACACTAAGTTCCCCAAGAAGCTGCTCGCTCTCTGCTAGTGCTGATAACATAGCTTCTGAAATCATGTAACATAATTTATAAAACCTAAGGACAAATGTTAGATGTCACAGTCCTCCCTGACTCAACGCTTATGATAATAGACTAAAACTAAGAAATGTGGTGCTATACACTTTGCCACGATTATAATGAAATGTATGCATGGGTTTTAATGAAACTGTAACCAAGAAAAGAAATATGTAAGCCAGCTAAGATGCAGTGATCACACTGGTGCCGAGTGGAATACAGGGACACAATCAACCACGATATTAATGACCTCACTGACCTTGACCTTCATGACTTTATAAGCTTGGCCTATATAGACCTAATTTTTGACCTTTATTTACCTTATCACCTTGTCCTTTATAGGCCCTATTCAAAATAGGGACTAACATGTCTGAGGGTCAAATATGGCCGACCCGCTTGAATACTTCCCCACGGGATATCTATTCAGTGTCTATAAGTGGATAAGACAGCAGGCTTTGTAGTGGGTTGCTATATTTGATCCTCGGACTAGTAAGTCTGCTTTTCTGAATGGGGCCAAAGAGGTCAATACCTTGGAAGTCCTCCTCATTCTCTGGGATATGTACTCCTCTACACAGTATCTGGTGCCGTGTGGTGTCCAGAGCCTGGGCCAGAGTACTGTACTGCTGCCTCAGGCCAGGCAGGTTAGCTGCTACTGGACCTAAACCAGCCTTCTGTAATATGGGATGGCAAGTAGTTCACTTTTCAACTAACAACATGGGTACAATGACTAATAGTTATTGCAAAATTGCCAAGCTTGCTGTAGTTAAGGAAAGTTTTTTTTAAAACTGGCATAAAGTTCACAAGAAACTTGTTTCCTATTGTGAGGTATTCTTTATTGATATCTAAACTTTCATGTAAAACATAACCATCTGGTTGTGCCAGTACTTCTGAGTGTATAACATAACCATCTGGTTGTGCCAGTACTTCTGAGTGTATAACATAACCATCTGGTTGTTCCAGTAGTTCTGAGTTTCCTTTTGCATACCTGCAATTCGAGCAATTCATCCAGTTTATTTGCATGCTTCAGCTGTTCATATGTCTGCTCCACTTCTGCCTTTTTCTGTAGCAGCCTTTGGTTTTCTTCCCACAAACCATACAACTGTGCCTGGAGACAATCACATATGTCATTTCACACACACACACACACACACACACACACACACACACACACACACACACACACACACACACACAAAAAAAAATCTTTAACACTGTTTCATCTCTTCATATCCATTAAAAGGAATAAAACTGTTCTATTATATTTCCAATACTTAAACCTTGATTGAGAAAAACACAATGAATTTACGACAGTAGTTAAAGATGGAGGAAAAATACTACAGAACATGTTATATGGCCTTAAAACTGTTTTCATATCAACAAAATTTAATAATTACAGTGCCTGTTAAATGTAACAGTCAACTGGACCTGTACATACCACGACTTGCTTCTCCTGTTCGTGAAATTCCTTCTTTGCTTTAGTTTCCAGGAACACCCACTGTAAATACCTGGCATACTGAAGGTCCAGAGATTCCTGAGTGATTCGAGAAGGGGAAGACTTCTAAAAAATAAAAAAAATTTTAAAATTTTTATGATGTTGTATTCATTTGCATTTTGGTACAGAAGTTTAGTTTTGAAGCCTTCCATAAGTTCTTTAAATCAAAACTTACATAAAAACCATTTCTCTCTATCTATAATCCCTATCACAGAGATGTTTAACATGAATGTATAAAATAAGCTTTAACCTACTAAAAGAGTAAACTATGAATGTTTTCTGAAATACCGCAATGTTGATTACAAAGAGATAAAAGAATAGGCAGAATCTTAATGATGACACTAATGATAAATGTTGTCATATTTACCTTCTTTGTGGTGTGAGACTGAGAGTGAGAAGCAGACAGAATCCTGGGTAGTTACAGACACATGATAAATGTTGTCATATTTACCTTCTTTGTCGTGTGAGACTGAGAGTGTGATGAGTAGGCAGAATCCTGGGTAGCAACAGAAGCTGACGATAAATGCTGTGAACTCATTTCCCGAGTTGAATCTTCCTTCACTGACACATTCTTTGGCTGTTTATGTTTTGTCCTAGATAAAGTTTTACTCGGAGGTCTTTGGACTGAGACTGCGGCAGTAGGTTTGCTTGGAGGTCCTGAAGGAAAATATACAATGAAAAGCTTTAGCTAAGATTAATATTCTTGTCTAAGGTTTAATAAAATATAATCCATGCCACTTTTCAAATGTACCAATCCATAAGATGAGATCAACATTCATACTCAAACATCTTCCTGACATCTTACTTTAAGCCCAGTAATTAAGTTCACTAAGTACTGCCCACCTGCCATGCTCAGGTGTGGAAGATATGCTGCAATGACAGAGACAACTGTGGGTTTTGGCTGAGGGTTTACTTACCTGCCATGCTCAGGTGTGGGAGATCTGCTGCAATGGCAGAGACAACTGTGGGTTTTGGCTGAGGGTTTACTTACCTGACATGCTCAGGTGTGGGAGATCTGCTGCAATGGCAGAGACATCTGTGGGTTTTGGCTGAGGGTTTACTTACCTGCCATGCTCAGGTGTGGGAGATCTGCTGCAATGGCAGAGACAACTGTGGGTTTTGGCTGAGGGTTTACTTACCTGCCATGCTCAGGTGTGGAAGATCTGCTGCAATGGCAGAGACATCAACGGGTTTTGGCTGAGGGTTTACTTACCTGCCATGCTCAGGTGTGGGAGATCTGCTGCAATGGCAGAGACATCAATGGGTCCTGGTTGAGGGTAAGAGGATGTGTCAACCGCAGGGGTGGAGGCCATCTTGGACACCCCTCTCACCATGGGAGTGGTGCTGAAGTCTGGGGCTGTACGTTTCTTGGTGACAACTGGTCTTTTATGTGTCTTCTTTGTTTCTGTGGCACTACTCCTTGCTCCACTCTTACCAACCAATGACTGAAATAAGCCAGCACAGCAACAATACATATTAGGAGAAGATGGCAGAGAATGCTGACAAGCCTTATGGGCTGACCATGGCAGTAAGTATTTAGTTTAAATATAAGATTTTTATGACATTTATAAGTAATATTTTAAATGTCTACAAATTCATAGATGTAACATATATCATGACATTTTCAAAGAGATAAATAAAAATCATCATGGATGATGAAAACAAGTAATGTTCACTAATAGTACAGAATCACACATTCTCTTAAGTTAAAAAGACTGTGAAATCTCCTCAGTGCAGTGCTTACCTGTCCTCTGTGTCTGGATGATGTCCCACTCTGCATGTATCTGGAGGGTACAATTCTCTCTGTAAGCACAGGGATAGAACTGTTAACAACACAGGGATAGCACTGTTAACAACACAGGGATGGCACTGTTAACAACACATGGATAGCACTGTTAACAACACAGGGATAGCACTGTTAACAACACAGGGATGGCACTGTTAACAACACAGGGATAGAACTGTTAACAACACAGGGATAGAACTGTTAACAACACAGAGATAGCACTATTAACAACACAGGGATAGCACTGGTAACAACACAGGGATAGCACTGTTAACAACACAGGGATAGCATTGTTAACAACACAGGGATACTACTGTTAACAACACAGGGATAGCACTATTAACTACACAGGGATACTTCTGTTAACAACACAGGGATAGCACTGTTAACAACACAGGGATGGCACTGTTAACAACACAGTGATAGTACTATTAACAACACAGGGATAGCACTATTAACAACACAGGGATACTACTGTTAACAACACAGGGATAACACTGTTAACAATGCAGGGATAGCACTGTTAACAACACAGTGATAGAACTGTTAACAACACAGGGATAGAACTGTTAACAACACAGGGATAGCACTATTAACAACACAGGGATAGAACTATTAACAACACAGGGATAGAACTGTTAACAGTTTTAGCAACAAAATTAATGAATAAATGATTTCAGTGTTTTCAGTGATGTAAGAAAAACATCAGCAGTGTAAAGATGATATACTGTTCCTTCTTGCTTCATTGATTACCTTTTGACTGTTTTTTCTTTTCCTTCTTTGCTGATGGCTCTACCACTGAACCCTTCAACCTAGAAAAAATGGTACAATGAAGACGTCTTTTTACCAAGACATATTTAATCATTAATCTTAACTTCATTGAACAAGATCATACACTTTTGATTCTTTAATGATCCATGTGTACTTACTTAAGTTTTACTTCATGGTATAACTCATCAGTACATGTGTACTTACTTAGGTTTTACTTTTATATATATATATATATATATATATATATATATATATATATATATATATATATATATATATATATCTGTCCATCCACCACTCTTTATGTATTCCAATGTGTTAACAGTGGTTGCCACCACCACCTGCACCTACCACAAATGTTATGTTTGTTTTCTTGGTTATATACCTATGTCAAGTTGATTCGGCAATAAACTATACTATACTATACTGGTGTAAGTCATCAGTACATGTGTACTCACTTAGGCTTTACTTCATGGTACACCTCGTCCACAGAGGCAGTGTCACTCTGAGGGAAGGGCTCCACTCCTGGTATTCCACTATCTCCTATAATTACTCTGGGTTGCTTGTAAGTTTGGTACTGAAGGTCCTCCCTCATTGGCCTGGTCAAGTGGTCGGTTGTATCCACTGTCTCCACTGCAGAATGATGGTCAATCTTGCCACCTTAAATATGGAACATTGTGACATCATAATAAAAGCAGTGGTTCACTATGCTAGTACACTGGTTCTAATGACACCTGTAACAACACCACCAGTCATCACTGAGACAAGGCCCTGACACTGCCTAGACACCTAACTGTCATTTCTCTTTTATATAGCCACCAGTTGAAAGTTAAGAATATCAAAACGAGTGGGAATTATCCCCTGTTATTGTTATTCAGGCAAACAAGCTAAGACAGTTAATTTGATGCCAGTTTAGATTTCAAGAACAGTTACAACACCTGGCTTAATCTGCCCTTATGTCTTTCTCTGACAAAGACAGGAGACAGAACTTGTGGTTTACTTACCTGCCACTGCAGCCTCTCTGATGACCATAGGAGACTTAAACCGGTGTCCTGGTCTCTCCTGGTCTGACTGTGGGATATCTGTGTTCCCAGACAATATGTTCACAGAGGGGACCTGGTCCACCTGTACCCTCCTGGCTGCTGCAGTGTCCCCTGTGTTCCTGGGGGATGAAATATGGGAAAAGATGCTTCAAGACTGTAATGTCTGATTAATCAACAAATACAAACAATTGGAATTGTTCTTCTTAATAACAATGCTTAGGTGATGAAAGCTTAGGTTTTTTTCAGCACAAGAACCAAATTCAAAAATTAAGTATTTTAATGGGGTACAAATGTCTCATTATTTTGACAAACCTGTTAAAAAGGTCTAATTTGTGAACCAATAATAAATAAATATAAAAAAACACATATACATGTTGTGTGTGTGTATGTGTGAGAGAGAGAGAGAGAGGAGGGGAGGGGGAGGAAGTTGATCATAATCCAGTCCTCTCATTACCTGAGGTCAGAATGTACAGCCCCCGGGGAGTGGCAGACCACTTTGACAGGGGAGTGTTCAAACCCCAGGTGGATGTCCACTTCTGTGTCCAGAGGCTGTCTGGTCTGTCTGGACGCGTCCACTACCAGAACATTTGGCGCTGGACTGTGCTTGATGTGCTGCATTACACGAGGAGATCTCTGGAAGTGAGAAAACCAGTAACATGGAGGACAGTGATAGCAACACACTATCAGGATATACACAGAGACTGACATGATAGGACATGGTGTTGGTCTGTTGTCTTCCTGCAGAATCATACTATACATGACTGGTAATGCACAGCTAGTTAGTGTAAAAACAAAATGGAAAGGTACTTAACTGCTATGAACAGTTAATCAGATTCAATGTGAACAGCATCTAATAACTCACTCTTGTTTTAAATGCCACTTCATCATCACTGTCTGATAATTCTAATAGTCTGGATGGTGTGACACGTTTCGGAGAATGGTGTTCTGTTTGATTTGGTTGAGCTCTGAAACAAGCAAAGTACCTCATTAAATTACTACATTTACTGTTTTTTAAAAGAGGCTCTTACAACTGTGAATGAAATTTGAATTCACCACTGACAAATAATCTTCAACAAAAAACCGTTTTCTATCCAATACATTTTAATGCAAAAAATACACATTTCACAAAAATTACGCAAAAATAATCACATTATTCACCATGGTTGAAACTGTTACTTAGTGTACATGAAGAGAACAGATCATCATGTTTTATTTTACATCAGTTACCTTGACCACTTTTGGGTGGCTAAAACAGAATGTGCATGTATGTATGTATGTATGTATGTATGTATGTATGTATGTATGTATGTATGTATATACCTTCTTGGGCTAGATAACACATCCTCTACTTGGTGGTCAGAATGGACTTTCTTATGGCTACTCAACTTCTGTCTGGGAGAAAGATCTCCTGTACTGCTTCCATCATAGCTCACTTTGTAACTTCCATCTGTGCCTGAAATATGAAATAAAGTACAGATTTTTTTTTAATTCTGAGTTGGCAACACACAAAGTTCCCCATGACTCACAAATACAAAATGAACTCTAAGGCAACACCTTTCTACATCTCTTAGAACAAAACTTGCTTCAGCCATGTAACTACCTTCACCAAATCAATACTAGATTGATATAAGTTATACTTTCAACTTTGAAATGTTTCAAACAGTTTATAACTAACTTCACAAATTCTTGGACACAAGTACAATGTAAACAATCTCTAGCGTCTGATGAAATGTTCAGTGTGAGGCTACTGTACCTGGCTTATATAACCTCTGTGATGGGCTTTCAGTTTGTGAAATCTCAGCTCCTAATGCAGAGTCAGACTGGGATATAAGTCTTCCCTGTGTGAGTGGTTTCCTGCAAATGAAAAAAACAGGTAAAAGGCAGTACTACTGGTGGATATTATGGACAGACAACATTGAAAATGGACAGCAGCGTCAAGTTAGCTGGTAGGAATAACATAGTAGGATTACATTTTACATGACAAGCAGAAGTCAGTAGCGATTAAGCTGTGCCACATTTCTGTGGAAGTGTGAGAATGCCGAATTACAGACACTAATTTTCACGGTAAAATACAGAAAGACTCAAATAAAATTTACTGTTTACGTTCGAATATNCATTCAGATTCACTTTCATTGATATCGACGGCTTGGCGAGTTATAGATCACAGTTGCCTAGTTTCTGTGATCAACATACGTGTTACAGCATTACCTTTTGTTATGAATCAAAATAATGTATAAATACCTGTTAAAACCGTGTCCAACAGTATCTTGCTGTGCTGGCTGATACAATGATCTTTTTGACGCCATCTTGAAAACTCCCGCTTTATACGACCTTCACCTCGAGAGTTAGAAATAGAGGGTTGGCATCGGAAGACGACAGGTCTTCTCCAGACATAAAACCAAGCAATTTTTATTCCAATGAATTATACCGAAAATTCAGATTTTATTCATTCTTTTCAAGGTTAAAAAATCATGTCAATAATTACCTTAATTTTATGATGTCATTTTCAATGTTAGATTCCAAACCATAGGACTTCTCGAGACATAGCTATCGTATTGAACCAGTCATCTATTACGCAGCCTGTACGTTCTGAAACAGAAAGTCACACAGCTCGTGTGGAGTAAGATGGACTCGCAGCTCTGTGACAACTGTGGCAAAAACTCGTTGATAACTGACGATCACGGAGGCTGTTCTCAGCTGGTTTGTGAAGATTGTGGTACCGTTAAGGCACAGGTAATGTGTTCTGACCGACTCCAGCGGGGTTACTCAGTCGACTCAGTGTTTATATATAATTTCCTGATTTGGCAATAATTCTTTTTATAACATTGGTAATAATAAAAAGAAAATACGAATAGTCTAGTAACTGACTCTAAATCTTTTGTGTGTCGTGTGTAATCCCCAGTGTGTTGAAAACATGAGAAGTTTGATACGTAATAATAGACCCATTCTATAAACTAAAAGTGTACATGTACATGTACTCAGTACATGTAATTTATAGAATGACTTGTAAGAAGATGGAAGTTAGGTAAGCGAACAAAGTGACTGTTATGTCTTGTGGTGGAGTGCCCCTAGTGGCAAGACACTCTCTAGTTAAATAAAGATTAGTTTAGAGTAGTAAAAGCACATGTCCAGTGTTGCGTTCTTTTATCCCCCTCAAATTAATGCGTAGAAACATATAACAGTGACAAAGTTAAAGGGAGTGAGTTGGGGTTTATATTTTAATGTAGGCTCTCGACAACATTGGTAACATTCCAGGCTAAACATAGGTAACATTTTTAATTTATTTTTTTGTCACTCATTATTTTGTAGGGAGGCTTCCAGGCCCCTCCAGAACAGACAGTGTGGTCAAATAAGTCAGACATCTTCTGGAATTCTTCCAAGAAGTTGCAGAATCTGATACAACACCATGGTGATGGGGAGAGAAGTTCTGAGGGCAAAAAGATTGGAGAGAAGAGGATCAAAGAAATCTCAGCTGCCATGAACCTCAGCTCTGACATGAAAGAGAGTGCCCTGGATATGTATAATAAATTAATTCACAGGTCTGGGCCCTTCCGGGGCATTTTATTGGCAAATAAGTTAGTATTAGCCAGTGCTGCTGTGTATGTGGTATGCAGGCAGAGAGGGTGGCCTGTCACGCTCAACTCCACAGCCTCTCTGTGTCAGTGTAGTGTGTTTGACCTTGGCAAGTACTATAAAGAAATATTGAAGGTTTTAAACATCACACTGGAAGCACAGGATATTGTTGATCTTATCCCATCTTGTCTCAGTTCATGTAACTTTAGTGACACAGAGCTTGATGAGGTGACAAGATTAGTGGAGTTGTGTAAGGAGACCTGGATCAGCAGTGGAAGGAGGTATAATTCTGTGATCACGGCTGCCGCATACTTGGTCTGGCAGTCTCATAATGTTAAAGAGCTCAAGACACCAATATGCAGATTTGTTTCTACCTTTAAATTGTTGCAGTGGAAATACAGACTAAAGCACTTTGTTGAGGAGTTGAAGACGGTGTTGTGTGCTCTGGCTGAGGGGGTGCCCTGGCTTAGTGATGTGAAACCAGATAAAGTCCACTTACACTTGCCTGATATTCTGAAATACCAGAAATCTCTACTGGCAACTGCCATATCTTTACAGCAGGAGGACCGGGAGGGGGCAGAACTTCTTGATGGTGACACCGAGCAGTTTGGTTACCATGGAAAACGTAAAGGAGGGTCTGCTATTTTTCCAACAGCTTACAAAAAGGCTCGACTTCATTCTGAGCAAGATGACTCTTGCTCTCGGGAGAGTATTTCTGTATCAAGTCACAGTAATCTGGATTGTGAATTTTTGACAGAGGAAGATATCCCAGAGAATGAACTTAGGGAATACATAAAAGACAAAGATGAAATTCTGAAGTTGCAAGCGGCTGATCATTCAAATAACAAGTGATAAGATCTGACATCAAATGAGTTCTCTACTGCGCTTCTTTATAAGAGCCATCAGATGTTACATATCTATATGTTTACAAACTGTACTTATATGTGCCAAGATCTGGTGATGTTACCAAAGCCTGTTAGCATGTATGGGAAGAGCTCTAGACATTGTCACCAGACATGGAAATTGGACTACCTGTTCCTGTGCTGTAGCACATTTGTTTGAAAAAAAATGGGTGAAATTACATTATTCAAAAGTAACAATTATAGAACAATTTAAAGATGCAGTCTCATTGTACTCTAGTCGAGTTTAAACCAGTAGTACACTACAAAATTAAGAACTATTTATGGTTTTTTGAGCACCAAAGTGCTCAAATGCCATCACTTAATGGACTTAAGACTTTTAAGTCTTAAAAGATGTTTCAATGAGTTTGAAAGAAATGTAAGAGAAAATGAAATTGGTTTAATTACTTCAGGAGGAAATGCCTAATATACTCTCAATAAATCCAAAAACATTTCTACCATCAAAAATTCGCATCTTCTGGTTTATCAGTGGTTTCAATGTATGTGATCGTTAAAGGTGAATGTCATTAAAACAGCACCCTAAGATTGGGAGTCCCTCATTTGCACAGCCAGATAAGCCAACATTTCTAAATTTAAAGCTTTTGACAGAAGATGCATTGAAATCTTTCAAGTAGAATGCAACGTTTGGTACAGTTATTTAAAGGTCAACATATTTATTGAGAATCTTACAAGTTTGAACAAACAATACTGAAAATTTTTAATAGAATGAGGGTGGAGTCCCCTCCACACCAAAAGATTATAGAGTTACTCTTACAAAAATTATAATTAATAAAATTGCATAATTTTGCACAAAACTATTACACGTTAATACTGACTGAGCAGATACCAAAGCTGGTTATGAGTTTACAAGCAGTTGCTTACTTTAACTGACATCCTACGACTTGTTAGGAATTAAATCATGCGACTAGATTATAATGGTTTCTTATCAATTATCTCATCAATCTTCAAATGATATATTTACAAGATGTTCAAATAAACATTTTAGAAATTCAACTTAAATATGAATATATGTAAACTACATATAACATTACATAGTTCATATATGCAAGTAAATGACTGGGAAAAACAAAAATAATCATTGAGCTTGCTTTCCTCTTCCGACAAAGGATTTATTACGGCCAGGGCCACAAAGAATATGATTCAATTATTATGAAATAGAGAAAGGGGGGTAGACTGTTAATGTTTTGCCATGCATCCATGTATTTATCCTCCCATAGCGATAAAATAAATTTCAAATTGTCAAAAATATTTGATCACTATTTCAAATAGTTTTTATCATCTTTTTCCATCTTTGTGGGCACAGAAACCAAGTGGATCCCTCTATGCACTGGCCTGGTGGCGCCCTCTATGCACTGGGCTACTGCTGTTTATTAGTAGCCTGGTGGCGCCCTCTATGCACTGGGCTACTGCTGTTTATTAGTAGCCTGGTGGCGCCCTCTATGCACTGGGCTACTGCTGTTTATTAGTGATCTGTAGGCGCCCTCTATTAACTGGATTACTGGTGTTAATTAGTGGCCTGGTGGCGCCCTCCATCTAATGGGCTATTGCAATTTATTAGAGACTTTGTGGCGCCCTCTATGGACTGGGCTACTGCTGATTATTTGTCTTGGTGTTGCTGCAGTTGGAGAAGCTGCTGTTGTTCCAGGAGTGCCACCAGTCTCTCCAGTCTCTGCTCCAGACCACCTAAAACAGCAACAGAAAATATCAGGCTTTTAAACGAATGAGGCGTTTACTTTTCTATTTCATTCCTTGAATTTTGATGAAGATTAAACCAAAGTTTCTGAGAAAGTACAAACGTACGTTTCTTTCAAGTTACAACTTCAAATGATTTAACAGAAATAACAAGATGTATGTTACCACCGCAATCCACAGCATTTCCAACACTGCACTGGTTCTACAATACAGTCAGACCCTATCATAAAAATGCAAACACTTGGAAGAGACGTACAGGACAGGACTAAAACCATGAATACTGCCAGCACACACGCTGATAATGCTAATAAAAGAATATTTCTTACTTTGCTGAAGTGGCTGTGAGTATCTATGGTGAAACCCTCCTCTTCCTCTATAGTGGTGCCCTCTATAGCCTCCTCTGGGAGGGTAGTTACCATAGTGATATGCTGGCATCTCTCTGTACTCCTCCCTGTAGTCAGCTGGGTTCTCATATCTCCTGGCCTGGTAATTATGGGATGAATAACTCCTGAAGTATGGATCGTATCCTTGAGGTTGTAATGGCTGCTCTAGAGGATACTCCTGGTGACCTCGACCCTGAAAATCCTGCTGAGGTGGGAAATCTACTGTATTGCGACTAGATAGTTGTGGAATCGGAGTGGTTGACACACTTCGCCCATAGCCTGGGCCTTCCAATGGCAGCGGAGTTTGTACATTGAATGGGCTGCGTCCTGACTGCACTCGGCATGGTGCAGTAGAGACACTATGCCCAGGATCTGACTGGTGCTCTGGCATGTGAGAGGTGTTAACTGAGGGATGTGGACTAGCTTGTTGTGGGGAAGGTTTTGTGGCAGTATTGTATTCATAGCCTGTCACATGTGAAGGTTGGTGATAGGAGCTGCCTACAGGAGATCTGTCAGCTTGTTGTGGGGAAGGTCTTGGGCCATGACCTTTCACCTGTGAAGTTTTGTTAGGGGGATAGTTCAGAGGACTGCGACCTGACTGTTGCTGGGCAGACACATCTGGCAGTTGACCTCCATAAGATATGCCTGGGGAGTTCTGCTGTTTGATTCCTGGTCCTGGGGAGTTCTGTTGTTTGATTCCCGATCCTGGAGATTCCTGCTGTTTGTTTCCTGATTTTGGAGATTTCAGCTGTTTGTTTCTCGGCCCTGGAGATTTCTGACTGCTTTGTTTTTGTCGTCTGTCTGGACTGCCTTGATGACCAGACTTTTGCTGATATCTAGACGGCTTTCCTCTTTGGTGTAATCGATCAATAAAAGCTTTGGCTCCCGCATCTCCACCAGCAGACATCTGATCCTGGGGTCTATTTTTGTTGCTACCATCTTGCTGAGATTTATCAGATCTTCCTTGTTGTCCATTTCCAGAAAAGGACTTTTGTCTGTTGCCACAGATACTTTGATCTTCATCACTGGTTCTACGATTCTGCTGAAACTTGTTGGCTTTGTATGTTGGTTGTTGGCTTAAAGCACCCCTGTTATCTGGTCTTTGTGTGATGGAATCAGTAGCTATCTTGACAAGTTCTGACCCAATGTTTTTCTAATAAAAAATCAAGAGAATAAACTTATATAGCAATATCACATTGTTACAATAAGTATAAATATAAAGCCCAATCTATGTAATAAAAGAAAACAATCCATCATAATAATGGCAACCTACCTTTGTTTTGGGGTCACAGAGCTCTACATAATGAGTCATATTCTTGGTGCCTATCAGCTTGGCTTGCAGTAATGTCCCCTGAACCAAGTCCTTGAACTTATCAACAGCTTGTGGAGGGAAAGTCTGACTTTCAGAGTGGAAGCCTGTAAATCAATAATTTCATTTTTATAACTTCAATAATACGGTCAACATTAATGAAACAATTCCATTCTAGGCACAGCAATTCAAAACAAGAACACTTCATTTGATGGAAATTCATCTGTGTAGTCTTTTGGCTGTTTTAGACGTTTAAACTTTTCAATTTGAGAAAGGTAACAGTAGTAATTGAAAGCTTTGTTTAGGTACAGCTCAAGTGCGTGTACCTAAACAAAAAAGTTTAAAAATCTAAAACAACAACCTTTTACTTTCTACAGCATGACCAGAACACATTGCCAGTGTCTGTATATAAAAAAAGTTTGAAGTGAGACTCTATATATGGTACAGTTTACACTTACAACATGACAGAGCACACTTAATAGCTTGGAGAGGTAGTGTGGTGAACTGAGGTTCTATACGGTACAGTTTATCTCCTGGGATCACATCCTCTTGTCCAAAGTCCACATAAAATATCTTGTACTTGTTGTTTGGCAGTATTGCTTGGACTGCTGCTCTAGACCACCCACCATCTTCTCCTGGAACCAGGAAATTATAATCTTCACTAAGAAGTATAATCTACACATCAATTGAGTCCCAGTGAGGAAACGATACTTGCTTAAATGATAAGTACACTTGAAAACAAGTATTTCTGATGATCAATGGAATATCACTTTGCCACACCCACCTTCAGCAAAGGTAACACACATTTCTTCTACCAGGGGTCTGAAGGCAGGGTCCGGGTGAACATGTTCATAGACCTCACCAAGTCTGTCCTTCAATGTCACAACTTCTTGCATTTCTAGACAGAGGGAACATAATATCATGCTTAGAAAGATTAAATGGAATCCTAATATATACAGGCACATACTAATATATCTAGACAGAGGGAACATAATATCATGCTTAGAAAGATTAAAGAAAAGCCTAATATATACAGGCACATACTAATATATCTAGACAGAGGGAACATAATATCATGCTTAGAAAGATTAAAGGGAAGCCTAATATACAGGCACATACTAATATATCTAGACAGAGGGAACATAATATCATGCTTAGAAAGATTAAACGGAAGCCTAATATACAGGCACATACTAATATATCTAGACAGAGGGAACATAATATCATGCTTAGAAAGATTAAACGGAAGCCTAATATACAGGCACATACTAATATATCTAGACAGAGGGAACATAATATCATGCTTAGAAAGATTAAAGAAAAGCCTAATATACAGGCACATACCAAGCCACAGCCAAAAGCTAGTAAAATAGAAGTGAGATTTGAATAAAATCTCTATTCAAAAGTCTTCTAATTAGGCTGATCATAACTGTGTTGAAGTATTCCAATGAATAAATACTTCTCAACTGAAATCATCTTAATTCAGATGGAAACCATTATATACCTTGTTGTTTGGACATATTCCAACAATAAAACAGCTTTGGTGAGGAGTCTGGGTTACAAACTATCACCATGGTAACAGAAGAATCCAGTGAAGCTTTGGTCACGTCGTATGTCATAACTCTAGGTTCAGGTGCTGTCAGTGCTGTACACACAGCTGGTTGGATTGGCTGGAAGGCACTGTCTGGGTGAGGGACCAGGTCCGACACTGGAATGGTTTGAGTCTTATTAAAACAAGCTTTACCAATTTTAAGAACATTCAAGTTTAGTCTGCTTTTGCATTAAAATCATTACATCTGATAATAACGGTGTAAAATCTTTTGTCTTTGTACTGCAGCAAGTATCAAATGTCCATTGGCTGTGTTAAAATTTTAAACTGATAACATCCTAGAAAGATAAAAGGTTAGAAAAAACTTCCAGATATTTCAGTACCTGCCACAAGTCCTTGACCTGTGAGATAGTGGGCCATGGAGTCACCGTCTGGTGTAGTCAAATTCACAGAGTATACCTCTCCTTCCTTCCTGACAACTCTGACCAGTACTGACCCAGGGTGTATTGTCTTCATTTCCTCAGCAGCCTTTACACTGCTCTCTTTATTCACCTCTCTCACCCCGGCCAGCTTACACTGATAGGCCTGGCGGGGATACCCTGTCACTAACTCTGGCTCCAGAATTTTCCTGATGTTAGCTGTTTGAACATATTCCGTGTTGCCATAGTCACAGAAGTAGACCTGATACCCTATCTGAGGACCCTGGTCTGCCTGTACCATGGCTCTGTACCAGACACCATCAGTGAACTGCGCCAGGACCACCTCGCCAACCTCAAGACGATGAGGATGGTGATCTGTGAGAGCATGCGTCTGGAGCCTTCCTCTAACTCAGCCACTTTCTCAATGAGATCAGGCAGACAGATGAAGAACTCCCAGGGACTGACGCAATGCACTAACAGCAGTGGGAACTCCCCGTCTTCTGGCAGCTCCAACTTTGGGAGGTCCACATGGGTCAGACACCTTGGTCTTGATGGGGCATCTCTGACATTTGAGCTTCTCTTTCTTTGAGTGTCTCTGGGAAATGCCGGTGCTCTGGCCCCAGTAACAGCAGGTCTTGGGGATGGAGGAGTTCTAGCTCTGAGCACATTAGACGAAGAATTTGGACTACGGTCTTCATACAGAGGTGATCTAGCTCCTGACACACAGGGTGGAGATTTTGACACAGACAGAGGTGATCTTGCTCCTGACACACAGGGTGGAGACTTTGACACAGGTGGTAGAGACAGTTCACTAGTGATACAGGAAAGTGGAGATCTGGCTCCTCTCCTCACTACTGGCAGTGTGGGGGACGTAGCTGATTTCGGGCTCTCTTTTGTTTGGGCAGTCACCAATGGCGGCATATTAGACTCCTCACTTTGTTCTGTGACTTGGTTGGTGTCAGTACATGTAGCAAATCCACTGTCCACCAGAAAACGTCCAACGTCTGTTCCATCATCAAGTGTCAGTTTAACCAAAGCTCTGTTATCATCAGTGGACACCATGTTAACCTTGACTACTTTCTCTACCAGCTTCTCCTGGAGCACCTGTTGGACTGCGTGGGGCACCTCAGGGTTTTCTGCCCAAATCTTCACCCCTGCCAGGCTGCACCTGATAGCCTTAGGTGGGTGGTCAGCAAACTCCTCCAGCAAGGGGCGTATGGCAGTATTGCTGACCTCCTCTGTGTTCCCGTAATCCAAGTAGAACACCTTAGACGTGGATGCCATATCTGCCAGCACCAGAGCTCTGTACCAGGCCCCCTGCCACTGAGCTGCCACCACATCACCAGACTTGAACCTGCAGATACAAGTAGATGAAGAAATTGTGGGGATATATCACCAAACTGTTACTTCTATCAAATCATCCTGAGCTCACTTATTTTAATTGAAGATGCCACAGGACAAATTATTGAAAACAAAATTTATCTGTAATACTTAATCAATAGCTCCATGACAAGAGAATTGTTTCTTGGCAAAACTTAACCAGAGGAAATCAAGTGGAACAGTTTAAAATTAAACAGCTTTAACATAGGACTATTAACAACACAAGTTACCTGTAAGTCTGCTGTGTAGACATGGTGTTGTATTTTTCATTCATGGCTAGACTCAATGCCACAAAGGTTTCATCAATATGGTGAATATAGAACACTTCAGACGTCTCTATGTGGAATACTGCTGCATCAAATGTCTCGTTTATTTTCAGCATGGACAGCGCAGACTGCAGGAGACTTAGATATATAGTGTCCAGCGAGGTAGAACTGAAATGAAAGATTTCCATGACATTCTGTCCATTACCTTTTCTTAACATGTTAAACAGATAAATAAACTATCACTATCCTACCTGTTTCTAATGAAACACATTTTACTCAGGTATTTACAAGTAAAATTTTCATTCCACTTTCCTTGTAACAGCTGGTATATTCTCCTCCATGGAAGTATTCCTCCTGAGCAGTTTATATCAATAAAGCAGATACATGTACTGTCAGGGTTACCTGTTTGGTGACTGTCCCCACTGTTCAGATTCCACAGAGAGGGTTGTCTTCTGGGCAGCATACGGCACTTCTGGAGACTGCCTTGCCATATTTTGTTCAGTCTCTACTGAGGAAGTTGCCATGGTAGCAGCATACACTTCCTCTGAAGACTGCCTTGCCATATTCTGTTCAGTCTCTGCTGAGGAAGTTGCCAGGGCAGCATCATACAACACTTCCTCTGAAGACTGTCTTGCCATATTCTGGTAGATCAAGGCCTCTCCAACATTTCCTATGTACAATGAGCAATATTAACAGTTTTTAATGCAAGGTCCTGTCTGTTAGACTACGTTTGCGAGCAAATATACTCACTGCCGTACTTCATCAATAAAGAACAAAATGTCATGATTACATTTACCAGAGCAAATTCCAAGAGGACTTAAAGTTAACTTCATGTCAATAAACATGTTTTGAAAGCAACTAGAAATGCTGAATTGCAGTTGAAATTTGTCAGGAGCCATTTAAGTCTCCTGCTGTCTTTACAGTAATCAAGGAAAGTAAAATCAAATGGTTTCATAGCAAAGGACAAAATCAGTTAAATCAAGAAAATAAATCACGTAAGTTTCAGTAGAGATTCTCAACTCCTGTGCCCACCAAACCCCCTCACCTCCTTCCTCTGTCAGCAGCTGTATATGACTTATTCCATTAACAACTTGTTCACAAACGACGTCAAACTTCCCTCCCAGACTGTCTACAACTGTTTTCAGCTCACTGGTCACATGGTCACTCCAGTCACTTCCTTGGACTGGCGCTACATTAGCTATACAGCAACGCATTCCCTGCAAACAGGACACAAAAATCAATAAGAACTTCTCATCGTAAACAACTGCACCATTTAACACCTGTAACCACAAATTCACCTGGTGAAGCTATCACTCTAATACAATGAACCGAATAATTCCTGAATTTTGATGTCAATCTCAATAAAAGTGACGAGAAGATGAAGGGCCACCAGTGGCTCCTCCTACAGTACCTGTAGTGGCAGCTGTGTGAACTCTGGCAGCAGTTTCCTGGTATACATCACTGGTCTCTCCTCCACATTGCCATAGTCTTGATATCTCACCCTGACCTGGCCATTTAGTGTGATCTCCTCCACCATTGCCCTGTACCAACCACTGTCCACTGCATACTGGACAGCACATACCTCACCCACTGATGGTACATAGGCACCCGGACCAATGTTAGTGGTACCACTGTAATACTACAAGATAACACAAGACTTCACATGATTAAATCAATAGGCAGCATCTCCAGCCGCACCTAAACTGCATATTAAACTTAACATCATATTTCACTGATATCTAAGATACTTCATACATCAAATTGATATTATACAACGGCCAATAAATTGTTCTACATACCAATTATTGATTGAAAACAAAAGAACTCATGTCAACTGTTGATAANGACTTCACATGATTAAATTAATAGGCAGCATCTCCAGCCTCACCTCAACTGCATATTAAACTTAACATCATATTTCACTGATATCTAAGATACTTCACGCATCAAATTGTTATTATACAATGGCTAATAAATTGTTCTACATACCAATTATTGATTGAAAACAAAAGAACTCATGTCAACTGTTGATAAATAAGGGATAGAATTAGTGCAATATGGTTGTATTCACAACAAAATTGATCTGCAGACTAACTGTTAAATATGGCCAAACCACTAGAAAGCTTGTTGCATAAACCCCTAATAAACACTTAATAGATTCCCTACAAATCTGTTAGTCCGTGGATCAAGTTTGTTGTGAATGTGTCCCACAATGCTGCAGTGACGTGCCTCCTTCATGTCCTGTATTAGTTTGACAAGTTGGGGAACACTGTCTGGGAATATCACACACAGGTCAGAGGGACTGCTGAGATCTATGATTTTCACCTGTTAAAAAACAAAGAGCATCAAAAAGGATGATAATAAGATAACCATCTTCCATGGTGAGAGCTTCTTAGATATGTTGCAGGCAGATTTTAAATGTGACAGAGCAATACTGAAATCTCAATCTCCCAAAGGCAGGTTTAAAATCTACCTAGGCAAGGTCTGAATTTCAAGTTGAAATTAAGATTTCAATTTTAACCTTGACTGATAAAAAAAATCTGCCTGGACACTCTGGTCTACAACTCAGTGTAGCAAGTTGTAAGATATTTTTATACTTATGTAATGAAATCTCCTAATTCTAGTATGCCTAACTGAAGCGTAGGCTCGAAATACATTTTCGACTTACTTAGCAGATAACACAATCTAAAGATTCCATGGTTCGTGTCAGATTTACGTAAGTTGCTCAAAGAAAACCCAAGGACACATAATGACCAGTTTAACAGTTTATTTGATGATGCCTGCTAACTACATGATCTATGTGAAATCTCCAACTTCTGAACCATCTCCCATGGCTCGAATCTGTCTTCTTAGCTCTCCTACGTGGTCTCTCTCTCAAACTGCTCTCTCTGAACTCCCAGATAATACTGCTTATATACAAATTCCTTATCTAAATGGAATGCTGCACTATTTAATGGTGCATACTAATCTTTATTACTTAAAATGCACATGTCCACTTGCGTTATATAATTACACGTAAGACCATAAAATGAGTCAAGTGCACATGCAAAAGACTTCATTAAAATTAATTAACAAGTCTGGAAATTATATTGGTGAACAGAACTAAGTCTCAAAGAAGGCAGTACACTATATATAAACACATTTCAAACATCTTTTATCAGCTGGATTAGTAAAGTAAGCCTATGCATTACCATGTATCATATCAAATTCCCCATCTTTACCAAACCTAGGATAGAAAAATTCTTGGGTCAAAGACTGAACTTAACCCTTACTTACTTGGCATTTCTTCTGGAGTGGGAGGCTCACTCTGGTCATTTTGGCACTCATGTATTTCTCTGGCCCACCCCTGGTGCTTGGAGGGGGGTCAGATCTCTCAGCTCTCTGTGAAAGGGTGTCAGACCTCTCAGCTCTCTGTGAAAGGGTGTCAGATCTCTCAGCTCTCTGTGGAAGGGTGTCAGAACTCTCAGTCATACTCTTGAGAGGTGACTTGACCCTGGCAGTAGGATCACCAAGAGAAACCTGTGGTAATTCTCCCACTAAATACTGAAATCAAGACAGGCAAGTGTGTGAAGAGAAGCCCTAGTCAAGTAGAGATGCTGGCAGACACGTGTCTATATCTTAGTTTACAGGAAGTTAATTGTTTATGTGAAGCAATGGCGAGCCTTACATCTAATAAGACTTTATAATGTGTGCAGGGGGAATGAATTACATATGGAAAGAATGCCTTGGTGATTTCAACTTGACATTTGTAATAGCCAAATCATCATCTGAAATAACAGAGATTAAAACCTAAGCTACAAGTAAGAATTAAACAAAACACAGACTGGAGTCACATTAAGAAACATCACATAATGAACAGACAGTATAAGTCCAGGCTTCATCCTGTATCTTTAGTAAGCTAACCCAGTCCCAGATCTCATCATCTGATAAGAAAACAAAGCAGAGTCAGTTTGGAAATGACCCTTCTAAACTAACTGTTAACAGATTTTAACAAGTCTAAGACCCCATTCCCATAGAATTTAGATCGATCTAACCCTGTGGGGAGTCTCACTAGATTACTGTCAGCTTAGCCGGCTTAAGCGTCTGTCCCACCTACTAAAAGCTGTAAGGGGATAATTAACTATGGTGCGCTTGGCTGACTGCAATTTAGCGTGAACCCCCAAGGAGTTAGGTCGTTCTAAATCTTAATCTCTGGATCGATCTGTATCTCTGGGAATGCACCCTAACACCTTTACTAGTAATGTCTGTACACTTCTTAGGTTGTCTATATCAGATTGCAGGGCAATCAACAAGTTGACTACCAAGATGAAAGTATGTTGAGTTCATTCAAAACCCTGACATTTTGCCTCTCTCACAGAAAAGATATATGTAGTAACTTGGTACAAATATTATTTTCAATGCACTGAGTGTGATAGAGACAAATATTAACAAATCTTCTTGGGAGTTTAACCCCCCTGATCACTGTGGCAGTGTGCATAAGAAATTAAGGCAATTTCTCCAGGGGCTGCTGCACAAAAGGATTCCTTTAATGTCTGTTTGTAACAGAAACAACTAAATTCCAGATATTTTTCACCCCAGGCCTACTCTAAATTAATTGCAAATTTGCCAAAAGACTTGTAATCTTTTAGGAAAAAAAATCAAAGACATTTCTTTGTCAGGTTTTTTATCTTACCTGCATTTCATCATCAACGCTAACTTCAAACCGTGCCGCTAATTCTGCAGTTTCCCTAAAATCAATCAAAAACAGTTTACATATTTGGCATAGCTTCTCCACGCTGTTCTACTATACACAAATCACCTCCACTGCAGCTCCTGCATGGTTACATACCAATTAAGCATTGGTTAACTAGTGAATAGGTTCAAAAAGAGACATTTTCTCTCATTTCTGCTGCCAGAAGATCTTACCTGATTGTCTTACACTGCTGCTTGTATTTAGACCAGTCTACTGTCAGAAGATCTTACCTGATTGTCTTACACTGAACCTTGTGCTCAGAGAAGTCTTCCCTCTGGCAGGCAGGACTACAGTAAGGGCTTTTGCATGCTCCACACCTCAAGAATCCTGGAGACCAAGGGATAATAATAATAATAATAATAATAATAATAATAATAATAATAATTCAGTCAAAATTACTATGGGCTTTCACAAAAAAAAAAATAAATAAATTAAAAAAAAAAAAAATATATACACCATTCTCCATGGACATCCACATAAAGATGTACATATTACCCAAATTCAAGACACTTCTCACTGTATACCCCCCCAAACAGATGTAGTTAGTGCACATTTCTTACCAGGTCCTCCACACTTCAAACACTTCTTTGCATTACCAGCAGCTGATTGGTCAGACATGTTGGGTGATGTGATCTCTGGCTGAGAACTTTTATCTGAAAAGTAAAATTATTTGTAGTAAAAGTGAATATCACCAAGNACATGGAAATGGGGGTGGGACAACCTTTTTGACCAATGCTGNGTGAGACCCTACGACATAAAAGTTGCAATTTATCTTCATATTTCGTGTAGTTATGCATTTAAAAGCACTTACCTGTTTTTTGAAAACCTTGTCCAACGTAATATCATATAAATTCTGTATTTTTCTCATTTTTTAGAAACTTGGGACTCCGTTTCTGTTTCTGTCCTCAAAAATCAACAGACGAAGGCACAGATACTAACAAACGAGATTTAAACGAGAGCAACAATTAAGCGTAACAGAGATAGGCATCCATTGTTCTCTGGGTTCTATTCATTCCGACCAATGAGAGACCGTAATACGGGCTCCGCCCCCACGCGTGTAATCTCCTTCTGTTATAACTCCTTGATATCACCCAACTCTCAACTAAAGGACCATTCCCAGACCCTATCATACTATCTGTGCATTGATCTATCTCTGAGGGGATTCTGGCTAAATTGCAATCCACTAAAGCGACTTAGATGTCTGTCATGACTACTGAAGCTGCTAGGGGGCAATTTATTATTGTTAAGTGGCTTCATCAATCGATCTTGTTAGATTGGTCAATGTATTGGAACCCAGTCTAAGACAGGCTAAATGCAATCATCAAATATGCTGGAACACTTCAGGTGTTCATACAACTCTCTCCTAACAGGTAAATTATGTGCATTAGTTACCTATGGCATGATTCCCAATACTATGTTCCCTATGATGGTCTCCATCCCCACCCAGATATATGGCATTGGTCTGTGTCCTTGTCTCACCACTATGGTAGCCAGAGTCTACAGGAGTGTATCGTCCTGTCTCAGGGGACACAGAATCTGTAGACAAGACAGAAAATTGGCTAAAAATGGACAAAATTAGTTCCTTGTTCATAAAAGAACCCTCATTTCCACCAATGGGAGAACAAAAAAGATAAGTTTTCTTCAAATGTGCTGAGATTTAGCTCTGATGCTGAATGGACAAATGACATACCCAGTGCTGGCCTATCCTGGTTTACAACCTGACCACCAGGGGGAGCTGATGGCAGAGGGGATTCCCTGGTTGTGAAATTCATGACAAAATCAGCTTTGCTTTGGTTTTGAAGTCTGAAATTTGAAATAACACACGACCAAGTATAGTTTTGGGGCAATCATTTCATTATATTTAAATATAAAAGCAATCCAGTTTGTATTCTAATTAGTAGTTTTAAACAGTCTAAACAAAATAATGGAATAAACTGTTCAATGAAATTATTTTCTTCATAAGATGACAAAAAAATCAATAACAGATTGCATTTGACAAACTTTAATAAAGAGACCTCCATTCACCCATTTTTAAAATCAGTAAGTTTACCTCATCCTTCTAATTTCTTCCTCAACCTCATGCTCCATTCTTTTTTCTTGATCAGGGTCAGTTTTGGCACAGTTCAATGATTTTAAAAACTCTTCCTCTTCCTAAAGATATAAAATAATAACATTAAAAATCTACAGAAATTAATATTAATAATGAAGATGGCATACAAATACTACACCTATTCACAAAACATCTTTATTTTTTTAAAACTGTTTTGAGGCTGGGGGTTGGTGGGCTGGGGGTGGGGGTGGGGGATAGGGGCAGGGGGGGTGGGGGGGGGGGGGGGGGGAGGGGGGC